CACATTGCCCTGCACCATCCTTGGGTCTCCATAGTGACACCACGGCGAAAAGGCCCATCCTTGTTCAGAAATGGGGCGACATTTCCTACTCACATCAGCGGCAGCACTGGGACACGTTAGAAAACACTGGATTTTATTGGGTCTGCAGAGAGTGGCAGTGGCTTTGGCCAGCTGCCCCATCACATGTTCAGGGGGGGGGGGGGGGGGAAGGACACAGAAGGGATGAAGGGAATGGAAGGGGTTTTTTCACATAAATTAACAGGACTAGAAAAATAAATTAGCAAAACCGTACACTGCTACGTCAGTGCATATAAATAATATGGCGTGTTAAACCAAGATCGTGTCCAGCTGCTGCCATCTCAGACCCACAGGCCAAGTTTCTTTAAGGAGTTTTTCTGGTCTTCTTTGTACGTCTTGAACCATTCCGCACTGGGATCGACACAGACTTCCTTCCCCCTCCGCAGCACCACACTGTGAATAGAGAGAGAAAGGGCCATGAGGCAGGTTGCCTTAGGCACACGGACTCTGATCTCGGCTCACGTGGCTATGGGGCCAGGGAAGTTATTGTGAGAGCGCTGGGAAGGAAGGCGCTTGACCCTGAAACGGTCTGGTTCTGGAGTGAAATCGGTTCTTTTGAACGCAGGAGGCCGACAGAGCTGCCTGGGCCCAGGCACGGTGCTGTGGGGCTGGTGCTGTGGGCACTTGCCTCCCCCAGCTTTGACAACACACCTCAATCGGACCTACAACATCTTGTGCTATTGCAATCTGTGCCCCCCTCCCCTCCCCCACACACAGACCGGTCAATACACCATGATCTTGGCCTGCAGCACTCCCAGCTACTCCAGCACAGCTCCCACCAGCTTTGTCAATGCACTGCTGTCCTAGACTGGGGTATCCCCTGCCAGTCCAATTCTGGGCTCCCGCACGACTCAGTGCACTCAAGTCCTAAGATCAGTGTCACTGACCTCTCTGCCAAGACGCCTTGAACCTGATGTGCAGGCGTCCAGAGCTGGGGCAAACACAGAGCTCTTTGAGAGCATCTCTCACTACAGCATCTGAACCGATTCAGCCAGGCAGAGACATTTGCTGACAGCGACACCTACCCCTCCTCTAACTTTTCAATTAATCTATTGCTCCTTTCCAATGTCCTTTTCTAGAGGAATCTCATCAGTTCACACTGACTTAGGGTACGTCTACACTACGAGATTAATTCGAATTTAGATAATTCGAATTTGGGAAACAGATTGTATAAATTTGATTGTGCGCGGCCACACTAAGCACATTAATTCGGTTTTTAACCACATTAATTCGGTGGTGTGCGGCCACACTACCCCTAATTCGAATTAACAAAATCGATTTTGGTGCTACTCCGCTCGTCGGGGTGGAGTACAGAAATCGATTTTAAGCGCCCTTTAATTCGAAGTAACTGGCTCCGTTGTGTGGACGGGTTAAAGATTAATTCAGATTAACGCAGCTAAATCCGAATTAAAGTCGTAGTGTAGACCAGGCCTATGAGACCCCGTGGCTATCTGCTAATGTGCAACAACATTGGCAGTTCACACGCACAGTAAAAATAGCAAGGATAGCACATCCCATGGTGCACTTTGCTTCTTTATGGTTACATGTGTCATTCGGTTTGGATCTCCAATAACTCTTTGGGCAGTAACAGATGATTTACCCCGATGTATTTAGGGCTGGGCTACATAGAAAGTTGCAGCAATTTACATGATTTAGGGAAACCAGTGCAGATATCTGTGGATGCTCTCACGAAAGTGTCGTGTGGCAGGTTAATTAGGAACAAGTTTTGATGGAAACTAAAATAAGCAAGGCCACTGGCATCTGTTTAATGAAATTGGTTTTTAAATCAGACCTTTAATGAAATGGGTTGAACTTTCCATGTAAACCAGCCTTAGTAATGAAATCCCAGCATAGAAACCACTGTTAACCCCTCGCTGCAAGGGGTCTATTAGAGAGCTGCTCTGCGTGTGAATCATCAGGTGGCGGATTAGCAAACCTGGAATTGAATGCGGTACAACACGAGCAGCTCTCGGAAAGGACTTTTCTGTGGTGTTTACTGAAACAGACGGAGTTACAGACGCAAGAGAAAAGAAAAGCATCAAGCCCGTGCGTCTGCCACCCTGTGAAACTTACATCACGGCCTGGCGGGAGCATCTACTATCTGTGGGTCTGTCACTCCGGATCAGTTGCGGGGAGATCGGTTTTCTGACAAAATTGTTTGCATAACAGCATGTGTTGTGTTTCCTATCAACTGGAAAGAAGAAAGGAAGATGCGTGAGTTCTCATACGCTGGATAATAATGAAGAACTGGGGAGACAGGATTAATCATGTGTAATAGTGACTTCAGTAGTGCTGCGAAGCGGCCAAACCTCTCTCTGGGGGTCAGGAGGGAATTATTTTATACACCCCCCCCCAGATCGGGTTCATTGCTGTTTTGCACGGGAGGGTTTCTGCCTTTCACTGGCACCGAAATATTGCAGTTATAATATTCCCAGCTTTGCCACTGAGTCACTGTCGATCTCATTGTTTAGCTGTTTGCCTCTCTGTGTCTCACTTTCCCCACTGGTAGCACGGGGACAAGGATGTTCACACCCCTGCCAGGGGGCGGGGGCGGTGGTTTGCAGGGGTTAATTAATTTATGTTGATTGTAGCAACCTGCATGGAAGTTGGAGGGAGGAGCATAGGTTGCAGGAGGCTGCAGGAAGCCAGTCTGCGTGCACATGGCTTGAATGCTCCCTGCAGTTGCAGGATCTCTGTGATAGATTCTCTTAATAGAGAACCAGCTTAGTTTCAGAAACAGGGAGTCCTCTCATGTTACCCAGCATGCGGGACATGAAACATCAGCACAGCCTTTCAGGCCCTCAGATGAAGGACTCTGCAGCCCATTGTGGTTCCAGCCTTGTGACTAGAACGGGTCAGGAAATGATCTATTTTTTCTAGGGTGACCAGGTGTCCAGTTTTCGACAGGAACACCCGGTTGAAAAGGGATCCTGGCGGCTCCGGTCAGCACTGCTGACTGGGCCATTGACTGTCTGGTTGGCGGCGCTGCACAGTGGGGCTGGCAGGCTCCCTGCTGGCCTCTGTGCCACGCAGCTCCCGGAATCAGCGGCATGTCCCCTCTCCGACCCCTACGTGTAGGGGCAGCCAGGGAGCTCCACACATTGTCCCACCTCAAACGCTGCCCCTGCAGCTCCCATTGGCTGGGAACCGTGGCCAATGGGAGCTGCGGAGGTGGTGCCTGCGAACGGGGCAGCGCGCAGAGCCACAGAGGGGGGACATGCTGTTGCTTCCGTGAGCTGCTTGAGGTAATCGCCGCCTAGAGCCTGCACCCCTGACACCCGCCCCTGCACCCTCACCCTGATCCCCCTTCTGCCTCCAAACCCCATGATCCCAGCTCAGAGCACCCTCCCGCACCTCAAACCCCTCATCTCCAGCCTCACCCCAGAGCCCACCCCCTTAGCCAGAGCCCTCAAGCCCCCCTGCACCCCTACCCCCAGCCCAGTGAAAGTGAGTGAGGGTGGGGGAGAGCGAGCAATGGAGGGATGGGGGATGGAGCGAGCAGTGGGTGGGGCCTTGAAGAAGGGGTGGGGCATGGACGGGGCCTCGGGAAGGGGTGTGGCATGGGGTGGGGCAGGGGTGTTCGGTTTTGTGCTATTAGAAAGTTGGCAACCCTAATTTTTTCCCAGGGAAAAAATTCAGCAAAAACAACCCCCAAAATTGTTTTTGTTTAAAAAAAAAATCAAGACATGGGGATCTTCTTTGAAAAATCCCAAAATGAAAATGTTCCCTTTTCTGTTTTTTTTTTATGAAAACCTGAAAAATATTGATGAGAACAGAATTTGTTCTGTGAAAAATTCCATTGTGAGGAAACCCATTTGCCAGCCAGTGGTTTGGATGGGCAATTCTCTGCCAGCTCCACGCATGGCAAGCATCTTCCGAAAGTAACCGCCCAGGAACTGTCTCTGCTACCAGCCCCAGGGCTAAGCACCACACCCCAGGTAGCCCAAAGCCTGAATCTCCTGTCCATAGTACTATTATTATGAGTACTGCAGTTGTAGATAGGCCAGGGGCATAACTGGAAGGAACTAATGTAACAATTTGGCGCTGCATTCACCAGCTTAAACAGGATTTGGCCATTGAAAATCTACAACTCGCAGAGCAATCTCCAAACCATCCACTGAGATGTTATTTCCCCCTGACCAGCCTGATGGGAAAGCTGAAAAGCCATCAAAAGGTGCAGACAGGCATCTAAATGCCTTCGAAAGCAAATGCCTCAAGAAAACACTAGGTATGAAATGGCCTGAATGTACCCCAAAGTTGAACGTGTGCTGAGTTTCCTCAGAGAATTTGACACCCCTTTAAGCTCCAAACGTATCCAGAAAAGAAGATGGCAATATCTGGGATGTGGGCAGGGGCAGCTCTATGTATTTTGCTGCCCCAAGCACGGCAGTGAGGCAGCCTTTGGCGGCATGCCTGCGGGAGGTCTGCCAGTCCCGCGCCTTCAGTGTACCCGCCACCGAATTGCCGCCGAAGCCGCGGGGCCGGCGGACCTCCCGCAGGCATGCCGCCGAAGGCAGCCTGACTGCCGCCCTCACGGCAACTGGCAGGCCGCTCCCCGCGGCTTGCCGTCCCAGGCACGCGCTTGGTGCGCTGGTGCCTGGAGCCGCCCCTGGATGTGGGTGACGAATGAACCAGAGGAATCCACAAAGGGCCTGACTGAAAGAATCCATCCATCAGACACAGCTCAGTGAGTGGAAACTTATGGGCCTTAACAACATAGAGGATATGCACAGAGCAGGCCAGGATCGGCAGGGATCCTGGAGCCCTAAGCTATGTCTGATGAGGCAGGAAGGATTCAGATTCAGAAAGAGATGGGGGCCCCATTGTGCTGGGTGCTACATGGAGCCATGATCTAAACAGACAAGACAAAAGGAGGCTCGCGAGCTCCATTTCCCAGACGGGGAACGGAGCCACGGCGAGACGGAGGCTGAGGCTTTCAAAACTGCCCTGGGGATGTCAGTGCCTATTTTCCATCCTTTTCATGGGAACGCCTAAGATATCCCAGCCTCAGTGACTCAGCGAGGTCACACGGAGTCCGTGGCAGAGCTGGGACCGGACCCAGATGTCCCAGTGCCCAGCCCAGTCCCTTCCTCTGCACTGTGGGTAGCTTTCCTTCCAGATCGCCTTGTCTAAGCTGGGATCTCCCGGAGAAGGAAAGGGGCTGACCCTCTACTTACAGCTGAACGAGTGGGCTTCCATCCAGAGAGCCGCCAGGAGCAGTGTTACGAGGGCTAAGGAGGCGACCTTCATTTCCAGGCGGGGTGTCTCGGCTCCGGCTCCGGCTCCGGCAGCAGGCAGATTCGGGCAGGTTGGGGTGGCCGAGAATGGTCTGGCTTCTCCCTCGCCGGCCACAGTATTTTATAGCCCTCAGCAGGGACTCCCATGATGGTGCTGGAATGTCCACGGAGGATGAATACTTATTCCATTCGTTCATTATCGTCTATTAATACCTGTCTCCCCCACTCCGCCCCACGCTCCTGTGGCCAGGGGAGACAGCAGAGCAGTGTCACTGGAAAGTCTCTTGCTGATTTACAGATAAGGAGCCAGCCTTGCACATGCTCACGGGGGAAGACAGAGAGGGGCAGGCAGAGGGTTTTAGGTTTAAATTTAGTCATTTGCAAACCACACAGGATGAGGCTCGATTCCCTGCCCGTGTGTTTGCTGCAGGCCTGTTTCAAACACAGCCAGTGACACCGGCCAGCGTGCCTTAGAAATGATGCATAATCCGGCCCATTTTGTGCAGATGGCAGGGGCGCGAAGGTATATTGCAGAGGAGCTGTCTACGGATGCACTCCCAGGGCCATAGAACCTGAGTGCCTCACGGTCACGAACCGATTTCATCCTCAGCCCCCTGGGAGGCGGGGACGTCTCAGCCCTATGGTACACCTGGGGCCAGAGGTAGATTAAGTGACTTGCCAAAAATTACATAGGGACACTGTGGCAGAGCCTGAGACTGAGCCCAGCACAGTCCTGGGCCAGCACACCCTGTTATAGCCCACCGAGAGAGGGGCTTGAACCAGGGACCTCTTCCACTACACTCATAGATCTCTATAACTCGCTCTCTGGACCTGAAACCCTGCAGTGGGGGAAGTAGCAGCTTCATTTCCCTGTTATGCCTCCAGGATGCGGGCGGAGGAGAAAGCCCCACCCCCTTGGGAGGGTGATACCCTCACAATATTTTTGGGGTGCAGGTTAAGCTGTTTAGATGTCCAGGAGCAAAATCCTGCTGTCATTTCATGGTGTAAATGCAGTGAAGTGCCATGGACTCCAATGGAGAGACTCCAGTTTTACACCCATGTGTCAGCAAGCAGAATCCGGCCACTCAATACCTTGCTGCACACACAGATCCGGTAGGTAGGCATCGAAATGGCCTCCAATGAATGAGACTCTTGTGTACACCAGACAGACGCGTGTGGCACGTGTATCGTGAGGCAGTGGGCACCACTTTAAAACATTTGGCAATCAGACAGGCCGTTAACCATTTTGGCTGAATTTTCCCATGCCGGTTGTCTGCCCCAGGCTGAATTTGATTGGCAAGTCCCCGCAAAAAAGGTTCTGTCATTTCCAATAACAAGGTTGGAGCAAATGAGAGTGTTTTGCCCAGCTGAAAAAATTCTAACAACTGCCCGTGATTTCTCATAGGATTGTAACTGAGCTACCCGAGGGCAGATTTTCACAAAAGGCGCCTCTCTCTGTCCCCAGGGCACCCCCCCAGCCGAACGCCACGCCCCTGCTCTGAGCCCCCATGGAACAGTGACTGACAGACGGTTGCATTTGCCCAACCTCGTTGTCAGAACTGGCTGAAATTGTTTTAAATGAAACTCTCCAGAAAAATTCAGCCTGAGGCAGCCACCTGGCCTGGGAAATTTATGCCCAAATGGGTAAAGTTTGGGGAAATGATAAGCAAATGAAAACAGGGTCTTCGAATGAAAAGTGTTGGGCAACCTTAACGCTAGGCGGCGTTTCCAGCTCTGCCTAGATCAGTCAGATCCATGGTTCTGGCCCAGCCTGTTCTAGGGGCCACATTCCCCCAGCTCGGGGCTGCTTGGTGTGGGTCTGTCCCTAGCTGCGGGGACACCACATGTGTTTGCCTTTCCTGTCGGGAAATCTGGCTCCCAGGGAAACGCTGTGGCAGGGCGATATTGGCTGGTGGAGACGCCAGAGGAACCGAGCGCTATCCCAGGATAACAGGCTCCTGCTCAGAGAGAAAAGCTGAGCCCCTGCCTCACCCCTCCCTAGCCCTGTGACCGGTGTGGCTGTCTCCCTGCTAGGCCCCGCTGCTTTCCAGCACCACAGCAGGGCTCGGCTCACATCTCCTGGCACCATGGACAGGGGTTCTCAGTGCAGGGAGGCTGGGCTGGGAACTAGATGGGGACGGGCTGCAGCCTCCTCCTCATACACCATCCGCCGGCACCCAGAGCAGGGAACCCCGCTAGCATCTGCCAGCAAGGATTGCCCCCTCCCAGCGCGCTGGCAGCCACAGGGCACCTCCGCCAAGCAGCAAGCCCCACTGCAGCGAGGCTCAGAGTCGGGCTCACGCTGCAGGGCTGAACACAGCAGTGTAGGCAGTGGGCGCAGGCTGGAGCCCAGGCTGACCTGGCAAGGGGGGAGCAGCGTGAGTGTGTTTGTAGGGGAGTGTAGAGAGAATCCAGAATGTGTGTATACAGCACCGTGTGTGTGTGTAGAGAGAGCAAAGGTGTGTGTGTGTGTACAGTACAGTGTGTGTGTGTGTGTACAGCACAGTGTGTGTGTTTGTGGCTGTGTGTGTGTACAGCACTGTGTGTGTGTTTGGGCATGTGTGTGTACAGCACAGTGTGTGTGTTTGGGGGTGGGTGGGGGTGTGTACAGCACAGTGTGTGTGTTTGGGTGTGTGTGTGTACAGCAGTGTGTGTGTTTGGGAGTGTGTGTGTACAGCACAGTGTGTGTGTTTGGGGGGGGGTGTACAGCACAGTGTGTGTGTTTGTGGGGGGGTGTACAGCACAGTGTGTGTGTTTGTGGCTGTGTGTGTGTACAGCACTGTGTGTGTGTTTGGGGGGGTTGTACTGCACAGTGTGTGTGTTTGTGGCCGTGTATACCGCACCCGCACACAGGGCAGTACCTTTCATACTGAGCAGGCCCCTGGTTTCCATGGCTACGCCTGGCGGAAGGGACGGCTCCGGCTCCGTGAGGGTGGCAGATCCTGGGCCCTCAGAGCGAGACAAAGCCTGGGGTGAAGAGGCCAGTGGAGGGGAACATTGGCTGTTAGGATAATTTGTACCCCGGAGACCCCCCCGGAGCAGAACCCCATTGCGCCGAGCACCTGGCTAGGTGTTTAGCGCTCGATTGTAGGGGATCACTGTCCCAGCCCTGGTCAAGCGCCCCCTTCTGGACACTCACCAGGCTGCTGTGTTTACGTCCCAGTGCTGGACCCGGGTGCTTTGGGCATGTTGAGTCTGAGCACAGGCCAGACCATGCCTCTGGCTTTGGGTCTCGAGACACGTCCCCAGGGTGCCGATCCTCCATCTAGCACCCTCTTCTGAGCGCTGGGACTTTGCAACCCAGCTGCCTAGGCCCTGAGACCCGTGCCAGCTCCCCCAGCAGCCTCGGCACACCCCGCCCAGAGCTCCATCCTGCAGGCACTCCGGCGAACAGTTAACCCCTGCAGGGACACACCACAGTTGAAGCAGGCAGAGACCTTGTGTGGGGTTTCTAACACAATCACACTTCACTTTAGACAGCACAAGAGATGTACAGATCCAGGCAGAATACGAAACACCAGCGCATGGATCCCCGCCTCCCATTCCTCATCACTCAGAGCATTCTTCAGGATTTGAATCCGTGTCCTTTTGGGGTTCCTGGTCCATCCTGGGACTCCATGTCAGGCTTCTCTCCTGAACCTCACTGACCTCTCCAGTCAGCTTCCTCTCGCCTCCTCTCAAAGTCAAACAGTTCCCTCTCCCTCCAAGAGCCTGTCGCTTTGTTCCTCTCCCGGTCCCATCGTGGGCCCCTCAGTGATTTTACATGCTAGTTCCCCTTCTGGGGACCTTTCACCAACCCCCATCCCTGCAGACAAACCTGGGCCAACTGGTTCCCCTAGGCTTCAGCCATGCTACCGTTTAAACGGGAGCTATCGGTGCTAATGACTCTAATGAATGTCCCTGGTCTGGGAGGGAGGTGACAGCTGGCTGGCTCCGGAGCCACTGGTGTATTCAATGACACAGCGATTTTACAAACCCACCGGATTCATCAGATCCCCCAAACTGGCACAAACACTTTGTTGATTTCATGGTTGATATATTTGTATATTTCGATACATAGAGGAGGAAGCCAACAACAATATTGCCAGGCCTTTCTGGAATCAAATGCCCACGTACGCACCCATATCATAGAATATCAGGGTTGGAAGGGACCTCAGGAGATGATCTAGTCCAACCCGCTGCTCAAAGCAGGACCAATCCCCAATTAGATTTTTGCCCCATATCCCTAAATGGCCCCCTCAAGGATTGAACTCACAACCCTGGGTTTAGCAGGCCAATGCTCAAACCACTGAGCTATCCCTCCTTACTTACACGCAGGTACGTATTAAGCTTGAAGCATTGTGTTTGACATTTCTTACCCCAGAACGATCATAAAAAGTCGGGGGGACGTGGGATCTGCGCAGGAAGCGTTGTTTAGCTAATAGCGTCTGGCTGGGTGTCTCCCTCACTGGCTTGGTGGGGACGTGTTTCACTGAGTCTGTCACCTGCTGTCTGCGTCACTGCTCGGGGGTTTGTACTGGGCTGGGGCAGGGTCGCCTACGGGGCTTTGCAGACTAGGTGGGACACAGCTCTGGAGAAGAGCCTCAAAGGGGGCGGCTCGTCCCCGGGGGGAAGGACAAGGTGCCAGGACATGGCTCTGGGGGAGCTCAGGGGAGTTTGCCCCTTGTGCCAGCCTTAACAGACATGAGTCTTTGGGCTCCTGAACTCCTGCCTGCATCACTGTCCTGCGGGGACGGGCCCTTCCTGTGCCGGTGGCTACTGAGGAGACCGGGAGGTTGTCCCAGCTCCCTGGAAGGAACTCTCCTGCGGGGCCATGGGGAGGAGGATGGCCTGGTCGAACCAGGCTACACAGGGAACAATCTGGGCCTGCAGGGTAGGGCTGGGAGTTTTAAAACTGCTGAGGGATCTGGGCACCCCGTTTTCCATGAGAACAGAACATCTGCTCCCCTAGACGGCTTTGCAAAGCCCCCCCAAGGAGGTGACCCTGCCGTGGTACAGACACCCCCCCCCCATGGGGACCTTGTGGGAGGAGGTGCACTCGGGGGGATGCTAAACGCAGCTGGAGACGCTGCATCCCAGCAGAGCTGCCAGCCACATCAGACACCACTTTCTGTGTCCACAGCCCTCCCCTGAGATGGGCTGAGTCCGAAGAGCCGGGAGCAGCTCCCCTGGCGTTACAGATCCTGCACCAGGGAAGGACAAAAGAAGGAGTAAAAGTCAAGCTAGCAAGAGCCGTTTGCAGCTGTGTAGGGGGGTTACAGAGCTGGGGGCTGGTCTCCAGGATTCTCCCCTCGCGGCTTGTCTAGGTGGGGACGGACAGGGAATTCGGCAGGAAGAACCCCTGGTATTTCTTCACCCACCGCTTGTCAGGGTTGGCACAGATCTCTTTGCCCATTCGAGTCTTGAATCTGCAGGAGGAGGAGGAGCTGGGTTAGCGAGGGGCTGGGTTGAGACTGATCACTGTTAGAATGACGGTGGCACCAATTTTCAGAAGGGCTCCGTCGGTGAGATTTTCAAAGGTGCCTCGGGGCTAAGTCAATGGGAGTTGGGGCCCTGCTCCATATGACTTTGAAACGCTCACCCAGCCCCCACAGCTGGGGCCAGAGCTCGGCGCATCGGGCGCACATTACCCGAAAACCCAGCCCCAGTTGTGTGCGCCAAGGCCGAGCCATTGGTGACCTGGCCCCGAGACTGGGTTTTACACCTGAGCCACTTCCCTGACTGCAATGGGGCTGCTCCTGATTTACACCCGGGGGCATGAGAGCAGGGTCAGGCCCGGTATAGCTGCAGGAATGTCTGGAGAGGGAATCCATTTCCCCACAGCTGTTTGCAGCCGTCTCTGGGAGCAGAGTGCCTGGTGAAATAGCCTTTAACTGCTCCATGAGCCACAGCCAGGCTACTCCAGTGTCCTCAGGAGCCGCCTCACAGGAAAGCCAGGACCTGGATTGTAAGCACCCCAAACGTCTCCCTCTGCCCCAGCTGGCACTCCCACGGGGCTGGGCTAAATCCGAGTGCAGGGCAGAGGTGGCCTGGGACGTCCCAGGGAGCAGCAGGAAAGGCCGGGGACGTTTGGCTACAGGGAGTCCCAGCATTTGCAAGGAGCCCTCGGCTGTGCAGCTGCATCAGCCGGCTCTGGGGCTAGCTCACAGCATCGACCCCTCCCCTGGTGCGCCCCACATTAATCCCCTCCTCTCTCCCTCCACCCCTCACTGTCCAGCTGTGTTCCTCCCTCTCTCTGTCCCCTCCCCTGCGTCTCTCTCATCCCCAGGGCCCCGTGCGTGGGGATACTCACACCACGGCGTGGTAGGAGCACTCGGGGTTGGTGAAGTACCAGCCCACGATGTTGCCTTTCTTGATCCTGCTTGTCTGGAACGTGAAGCAGCACTTGTCCGGCGCGCCAGGGGCCTCTAATGGGGCAGAAAGCAGCTCAGGTGAGGGTGAAGTTGCCTAGATGGGACCCCATATCCCCTGAATGGGCCCAGAGCATCCACGTGAGCTGTTCCTGGCTGGCTGGCTAATTGTGGCCCTAGGCCACTCAGCTCACTCCCAGATAACCCCGCTGGGTTAGCACATTCTCAGCCGGCGTAAATCAGAGCCTGCCCTATTGACCCCAGCGGCCAGAAGAAGTTTGCCGTAGTGAACACTGCGGCGCTAATACACCTCTATGGGAGGGCTCGGCTCGGCCTCGGCCACACGCCTGCCAGCTCGGCTGTCCTGGCAGGATCCTCCCTCCTGGGGAAACTGGCAGAGTCCAGGCAGAGTCTGCAGCTCAGAGCAGCTCCTCCCCATAACCTGAGCCTGTTTGAGCCGGAGTCCCCCAGAGGGACCCGCCACCCCATGGCGCCATTGTCACAGAGTCACTCTACACGTGCAGTGTCCAGAGAGTGGGACCATCTGGCGAGGGGCAGTCTGGGACCCCTCTGTCCTGCCCCCCATATCCCAGCCATGCCCTGACACCTCTCCCCATCTTGACCCTGCACTGAGATCCCGTGGTGCTCCCTGACCCAGGTCCCGTCTCCCCATGGAGGCGGCGGCAGGGGGCGCCTGTACTCACTCTGAGCCAGGCTCTGGCAGCAGAACGAAGCCAGCAGGAGAAACGCGCAGACAAGCCCGGCTGCCTTTGTCATGGTGTGGAGGAGGGTCCTGCTGGGGCCGGTGAGCTGGAGTCAGCTGCAGTGGAGCCTTCTGGCTGGATCTGCCTCCCCGGGCTGCTTTTATCGGGGTGGTCTGCTGTGGGCGGATGGGAAGGGATCCGGCTTCAGCTGCATGCATGGACGGGTGGGCGGGGGGAGGGGGGACCAGCCAATATCCTTTTCTCAGTCCACAGAGAGATGGGGATTTTCTTTCTTTCCCAAATGATCCCCGTGAAGGAGTGATATGTCCCCTCTGCTTCTAGTGCTGGAGGCCCTCCAAACTGTCCCGCAGCCAGGAGCTCGCCTTGTTATTGTCAGCATAAACTGTAACCGCAAACATTATCTTCTGCCTGAGCTTTGCTGTTCCTAGGGTTTCTCCCTGCAGGCCCCCTCTGTCCATGCCCCTAGCCTCATGCGCTTTTGTGCTCTGGAGTTTGAGCTAAGAGGACCCAACTGGTCTGATGGTCGGTGTGAGTCAGGAGAATGGCTCTGCATTTTTATGCAACGTCCTTGTAGCTTAGGCCCGCTCCAGATCCCCTGGGCGGAAGGGACCTCACAGGATGTCTGCAAAAGGAAGGCACATAGCTTAGGGCAGGTGCCTGTGCTTCCAAACTCATTAACCCTTGAGTCACCTCAGCAAAGCACACCCAGAGGAACACAGGGTTACCAATGATTGTGCCCACCTCTATGACTTCTGACCCCTTGTCACGTCTAGTTGTAAATGTCACAAACTCCCGAGCCAAGGGTGGGGTGTGGAGAACCATGGACCTGTCCATGTACCACGTGGATAGTTGTGACCTCGATCCAGCAGGAGTGTGAGCAAGGGCTAGGCCTGGGTGCAAGGACGGTCAAGTGTGAGGAGAAGCCCCGACCCTGGCAGTAAAGAGTCTCAGGACCCCACACCCTTGTCCACTGATGGAGGGGGAGCTCTGTTGATTTGCACCAGCTGGGTCGGACACTTGCTGTTCACCTGCAGGAACATCTCAGGTGAAGGCAGGTCAGCCTCAAACAGGTCAACTCTGGCCCATCTCATTCGCCTCTAGTGGCACCTGGAGGTTTCCAGCCACCTCTCAGCAGTACTGGGCCGGGCCGCTCACACCCTCTGAGCCTGCCATGCTGCATCCTGGAGGCTGTTTCGGACAGGCTTGGGCTAACCAGGGCATGATCAGTGCACTTGCACAGGGCCCTCGTCTCGGGGGGACCCCCAATCACCAGGAAAAAAGACAACTGCGCAGAACTGCACCGCCATTTGCTCCAGTTTGGCCGGCCACCCCTTGGTCATGACAAGGGGCAGATGAGGGGTGGCTGAGCAGCGTGGGGCTACGGGAGTGCGCAGGCAGTGGAGCTGGGTGGCTGGGATCAGGAGGAGTCGCTTTAGCCCAGGATGGGGCCAAAGCAATGAGACGGGGGGGGGGGGGGGGGAGAGGCAGGGGGGGGGGGGGGGCTAGGGGGGGGGGGGGGAGCACGGGGGGGCAGGGGGGGGAGGGGTTATGGCCAGTGGGGTTGAGGCATTGAGGGTGGCCTTGAGAGGGCTGTATGTCAGAGCAGCTAGGGTATGTGGGTGGGCAGTCAGGATAAGTGGGGCTGGTGGAGGGTTGGTGGGGTATATATGGGGTGGGAGGGGCATTTGGGGGTCTGGGTCTGGGGTGGGAAGAAAGGGGCATTCTGGGGTCATGTGGGGAGGGATCCGTGTAACCTGGGAGGGGCATTCAGGGGTCTGGATGGGGCATATAGGGGGCAGGGGCGCTTTGCTGTTTAGTTTACAGATGGTGGGGTGCCCCATTTCCACAGTGCAGAGGGCCCAACGTTTTTAAATCCTGGCCTGGTTTCAGCCTCGCTTTGACAGAAGCCAGGAAGGTCAGGAACGAGAGCGAACGGAGTGGGGAGGA